TCCCAGACTTCCCCAGCCAGCCTTTTTTTGACCCCTTACTCCTCAGGCCCCATAGTCAGAGCCTTTAGGCCAGGGTCCTGGAGACCCTTTTTTCATGCCCAGGACCCCTCTGAGAGTGGTGCCAAATCTCTGGACCCTCCTCATACCTTGAACGCCTTTAAGCGCGCATAATGCTAAAAGCCAGCTTTGCTGGCTGGGGAATTCTGGGAATGGAAGTCCACCAGGCTTAAAGGGGCCAAGGTTGGAGACCCCTGCCCTGGAGCTTGTCCTTTCTCAATATTAGCAATAATACCAATCATAATGCGGCAGTAATAATATATGAATAATATCTCATTGTCCCACAAAAAGGGGTCCCATTCCCTTATCCAGCTGTGCACGGGGTCTGGCCAGCTGCAAGGACAGAGGTCAAAGCCTGATTCTGCTTCTGTGCTGTGAGTGACAGCTTCAGCCAGGGCTCTGGGGGTCACTGCTCCTGCCCAGGGAGGTTCCATCGAGGGCCCCGGGGCTCCTTCTCGGGTGCCTCGATGAAGAATCAAGCCTTTGATGGATTGGTTGCCTTTGGGCTGGGCGGCTTGAGAGGGAGGTCGGCCAATGCAGGATGGGGAAAGGGCGGGCCCCGGCCCCAAAAGATTTCAGTCTGGGGAGGGGTAGATGGGGGGGGCAGCCCCTATAATACTTTCCCCAGGTTGAACCTCGACTCAATGCTGTCATCTGGAGGCTTTGCTCCACAAGGTTGGTTTTGATCACCTCCTGGAAGGTGGATTTTGAACTCAGGACCAACTAGGTCTCCTCCTTAAAATTGGCCCCTGAAGCAGGTGGGATTCTGGGAGTTGAAGTCCACAAGCTGTCACCTTGGAGGCCTCTGCAGAGATGTTCTCCTTCAAAAGGGGATGAGAAGCTGTGGGGCATTTTGGTTCCCCACCACTGCAGACGTAACCGGACCCCAAGGCGGCTGGAAAGGGCCGTCAGCTAACCAGGCTGGAGGAGCCGCACTTCTCGGGGCTGACCGGCAGCTTCTGGGCCACGTCTACCTACCTTCAGGCCGGCTCCGATTGGTCTCCCTCCGGTCAAGCTGGCCAGCCCAGAGCATCCTTCCCAGCTCTGTGCTGCAAAGACCCCCAGCCAAGGAGCACCCCCACCCCCATCATGTGGCGGTCTGTCCCACTGGCTGACAGCTTCTTGGCTTACAACCCCAATGGAGCCCCAAACTTATGTCGCTAAGGGAGACAATTGTTAAACCGAGTCTTGCCCCATTTTACGACTTTGTTTGCTGCCACTGTTAAGTGAATCACTAGTGCAGTTGATAACACGGTCGTTAAGTGAAGCTGGCTTCCCCACTGGCTTTGCCTATCAGGTCGCAAAAGGGGATCACGGGACCCCAGGATGCTCTGACCACCAGAGGGAGAACTGGCCACAAGTCCCTTTTCTCAGTGCTGTTGTAAGTCAAGGACCAGCTGTCATGGATTGGCTAACGCTGGATCCTCTGGAGATGAGATATTTGAAGGCGGCTCTCCCCCGTCTCCTTGGGGGAGGGGGGGGCTCTTGCGCAGGCTGGACACCCCCGTCACTGTGCCTCATGGGATGGGGGTCCCCCGCCCCCTCTGGGCTTTGGAAGCAGGGGGCCCAGTAAAGCTGGCCGAAGTCTTGCCAAGGGGGGCCGGACCAACCTAGACTGCAGCGGAGCCTCTTTAAGACTTCAGCTCCCAGAGTTCCCCAGCCTGTCACGAATGATAGAGTTGGAAGGGAGCAGAAGGACCCCCTTCTCCTCCAGGGTTCCTCAGCCTGGACGACGTTTCAGACACATGGGACTTCAGCTCCCAGAAGCCCCAGGGCCTTTGGGGGGGGGGGGGGGGGAGTAAAAAGTAGGTGGAAATACATTATCTGGCGATGCAATATTTCCCCGCCTGGAGACGGGAGGAAGAGGAACCGGACCGGCTCCAGGGGGACCCCGGGGTCCGAAGGCCTTGGTGGGCTCAGGGGCACCAACTCTGCTGCGGAGGGGCCACAACGTGGGGGAGCCTTCTTTGGGGGGCAGCCCCCCCCCCGGCTCAGCCTCCCTTCTCCCGTCTGCCCCAGGCAGGAACCGGGGAGCCAAGAAGCGAGTCCATCCTCTTCCGTCCGGATTCCAGGTTCACAGGAAGAACCGGACCTTGTCTGGCCTCCCTTCGGCCCCAGTCGTCCGGCAGAGCCCCTCCTTCCGCCAGGGTCAAGTCCTTTGGGTCACTGCACAGCAGCACACGCAGCCCCCTCCCCCCCAAGTCTCCAGATCTGTGTCTTTTTGGGACACACACACACAGGCACACACACACACACACACACACACACACACACACGTTGAGCCTTTCCCCAGACTCCCAGCACAGCAGCCCTCCCTCCTCAGGGCTGGAGGCATAAAAACCGAGGGGGGGGGGTGTCCCAAGAACCCCAGCGCCCCCCCTTCCTTTCACCGCCAGGCCAGACAGGCCAGCCGCCTCTTCCCCCAGCAGGGAGCAATGCCCAATGGGAAGGGAGGGGCCCCACCACCCTGGAGATTACATGCCCCCCCCCTCCCCAAGTTCTGGGCGGCAGCAGCAGCCCCAGCGGGTGTCCCCTACAGGCCGCCAGCGTCCTTCGAAGAGTGGCGCCCGTGAAGGCCGCAATACTTCCTGCCCATCGTTGACCGGAGCCAAGCAGGCGGGATGGGTGAGGAGGGGGCGTGTGGAAAAGTCCTTTCCTGGGCGGTGGGGGGGGGGCTCCTTCTCTCCTTCAGCACTGGGGGCTGGCAGGGACACCACGAAGCCCCCCCACCGCCATGAAGAGCTCCCTCCACCGGCTGGCCGGCCACTTCCGGTGCCGGCTAGAAGCGTTTCTCCTCCGACTGGGATCCGACCACCAGCTCCTTGTTGCCAAAGTCCCACCAGGCGGTCATGTGGAAGGCCATGTTGGACAGGACCACCAGGTACTCCAGGAAGGCGAACACCGTGTACACTGCAAGGAGGAAGCAGACGCAGAGCATGGAGGGACCTCGGAGGTCTTCTAGTCTGCCCCTGGCTGGGGGGGGGGTCCCGGGAGTTCCACAAGTCTTAAAGCTGCTCCAAGCTTTCCCATTTGCCCGTCAGGAGGGGGCTTGGCCGCCGTATAACCACTTCTAAAGGCTCCAGAATCCCCCAGCCAGCAGGAGACATGCTGGACAAGGCAGCCCTTCTGGCGCCTTCCAACTCTATCATCCGTGGCTAGCCGGGGAATTCTGGGAAGGGAAGTTCCACAAGTTTTATTAAAGTTGCCACGTCTGAGGAGAGCCGGGATACGAAGCACGCTCCCCCGTGCCTGGGATGCTCTGGTCCACATCGGGGACACCGTTGGCGTTCAACAGGCGCCTCCGCTTCTCCTCCCTTCCGGCAGCCAAGAGAGCTCCTGGCCATGCGCAGAAACCTCCCCGCGTGGCTTCCAGGGCTCTAAAGCTGAGCCTCTCAGCCTCTCGGCTTCCGGGACCAAAAGTCCAACTTTGTTTTTCGATAACCGGACACGGAAATCTAGCTTTTCACTCAATGAAATAACTAGGCCACCAAGGACTGAGGGGCCTCTGGGCTCCCTAAATGTCCGCTGACTTCAATAAATCTCACTCCTTAAAATGATTTATAACCCCCAAGTGGTATTCGTACTGATTTAATTGGCTAATACTGAAGGACCAATATTACTATAAGGACAAGTGTGCTGTTTTTAATGTTTTGGGAGGCCGTTTGAGCGTCATTAGTTGCACTACCGGCCTTTTATCTACTCCAGAGGTCTCCACTTGAAGGCTGGGGGACTCCAACTCCCAGGGTTCCTCAGCCAGCTTTGCTTTGAGTTAACCCCGCCCTGCTTTGCCGGCTGAGGAACCCTGGGAGTTGGAGTCCCGCAGCCTTCGAGGGGCCGAGGTTGGAGACCCCTGTTCTAGTCCGTTAGCGTTAGGCGCGCTTAAAGGCGTTCAAGGTCTGAGGAGGGTCCAGAGGTTTGGCACCGCCCTCAGAGGGGTCCCGGGCAGACAAAAAGGGTCTCCAGGACCCTGGCCCTAAAGGCTCCGGGGTCCAGGGCCGCCTTACCTCCAGCCTCACAATACCAGGTGTGGCGCATGTAGAAGC